CGACATGGTGAAACGAATGGATGCCCTCAGTCACAGAGCTGCTTGCTGTTAACCATGATTTGCTACCTTCAAGCTGCATGGCTACTTGGGAGAGGCAAACTTTATTATCCCCATCGCAATAATCCAATCATTGAACGTCCTACTTATTGCATTTAAGTAGCGGGCTTTCATGCTCCTCCCGCCCTTGTTCTGGAAAACCAGAAAGTTGTACAAACTTCACCACGCGATAGTGCACCTACTTAAACTTGAAGTACAAATTTTTTGCAAATAGGCAAAACGGGCACTAGAAGCGTGCGGCAACAACGTGGAAGCCGCGATCAACATGGCCTTCTCAAACCCCGAGGCATTGTTGGCTTCGGCACAGCAGGTACAACAAAGCAATGCTGCATCAACCACAGCAAAGAGCTTGGCGAAAAGTACAAAGGAAACTGTGACCGACGGAGATCCCAGTCGTTATGAACTCATTGCATTCATCAGCCACATGGGAGAGTCCACCGCCGTGAGTTATTGCTTAAGGAATTCAGCTAACTAGATTAGTAAATGAATCGTCGGGTAGGCGAACAAAGAGAAAAAAAATTGAGCTACCATTTGGATAAGAGAGTTTATGCGAAACAGTGGATCGCACGAGTGAATAAAAAAACAAGGACAATGGAAATTTGGTTGTCTCAAGGTTTAAACGGCCCACTGTTAGAATTGCTGCTGTTGACGAGATCAACAAGACTCTCCATCCTCCACTTTTCCTCTTTCGACACAGGCAGGGCACTACGTGTGCCACATAAAGCGAACCGCGCTCAGTAAGGGTATTCCTGGCGTTGCTCCAGCTTGCACTCCATCTCCATGTCTTCCTGATGGCGAAAAGGCGGACGAGTGGGTGATCTTCAACGATGAGAAAGTCTGCCGTAGCGAATCACCACCCTTTCAACACGCCTACCTGTATTTTTTCCGCCGCGTTTGAATTTATCAATTCCCTCCTCTTTCTTCGTCCTTGTTCAATCGTTCGCTCATTGTGCTATGTGATGAGGCCAGTAGCATGACCTTTGAAAAAAATAAAGTTCCAGTGATCACTATGCCTTGTCCTAGAGAATGCTCATGAATGAATTTTTGCTCAAGTGAAGTAATTTGGCATGTAAACCCTACGACTCGATTGCTCTCTTGTTTAGTGGTTGCTATGTCAGAGAAGTCAGACGATCTCTACCTTCCGAATGCAGTAATTATGCGGATCGTTCGAGAAGCTGTAAGTCCTTATCTTTTCATATCAGTGCGTCTTATCTCCGTTTACATGTTTAATTAGTTCTTGGTAGATGATAAACTCCCTGGTTTACCAGTGCACGTAGAAGTTGAGTGACTTGCTGCTTGATGGACGTTGAATAAACGGATGAATTTAGAGGTGGAAAATGGTTGGATGGTTGGGCGGCTCAGTAAATAGAGAATTAGGGTAAGGGAGAGGTCGAACTAATACGCGTCTCCGGCAGACCCAGTAGACTAATTAGTTAATTGACTGGACTGGTTACCCATTTATTCATCAGTTCCCGGAGGATTCCTCCATCATGGTGTCACGAGAGGCTCGATCCGCACTGAGTAAAGCAGCGAGTTCTTTCGTTCTCTGCGTCACCTCCATGGCCAGTATACACTGCGAGGCAGGCAAACGCAAGACCCTTGCGGCTTCTGATGTCATTGGCGCTCTGCGGGACATGCAATTTGGACACTTTGAGTCACCCCTACTTCAATTCCTTGAAAGTAAGCTGGTTTTTACTTTTATTTTACCCGTACATCCTGATCTGCCTACATGTGAGCCTACTGAAATGTTATTTAAGTAGTTCCTAATTTTCATTAGATTAAACTTTTTTAGGACTTTAGAAGCCATATTAGTTGGTTCATGAATTCGTACTTTAACGAGCGGGTGAAAAGACGACAGAATGAAGTGCATAGCTAGTGGGTAGATCCATACACGCTTTTTTGAGAGGGGCCTACTTCAAGAATTTGCTGTCTTGACTCCCGATAAGGTATCAGTTAAATAAAATTGCAAAAGTGGTTACAAAACTGAGTTTGACTGCAGTAGC